TATGTGTTTATGTTATAAACAATAGTTGCCCGATTTATATTGATTTCTTCAAACTCCTAAATATCACTATGAGCCTCACAAATCCAGTTATCAGTCGGCTCTCATGCAGCTTGTGCCTTTGAATATAGGAAGAAAAACACATATCGTTAACTTACCCTCCAAGAGAGCAATCCCCTTCTTGATGTCCTGTGTGTATTTACTCCTGATCAGACACCAAGCATATTCAAATTTTGTTTCTTTGGACACGGCTCCCTTCAGCAGCTCACTGTTGTATTTCTTCTCAAATTTCTGTCAAAACAAAGCAAAGGTTTCGTCACATACATGAAGCTAAATCTACCGACCCGTACTGGCTGTGAAACAAAACAACAAACCCTCTCTTTGCTCACATAAACGTTACACGTCATTCATTGCGTAACATTTCCTGAGCAAAAGTAGGTAGTCTCCAGCTGTTATGGCAGCTAGTTAAGTAAAGTACATATCTTCCCCCCACACTGTATTTCGCCTGAGTCATTAGTGATAAGTCTGATGACACTCTGGCCAGTTTTGATCATCACCATCATTAGCATTAGCCAGCGAGGTGACGCGACAAAGTATCGATAACGTCGCATTGTAGCCAAACTTCAGCATGTACCGAGTGAACATGTGCTGTCAGGACCTCTGCGCGTGTCGCGTATGCTTTTAATATGTATGCTGAATGACAGAAAGAGGTTTAATAATTTGAAAACTTACTAAAAGGTCTTCAGGAGCTACAACATCGCTCAGCACAGCCTCCATGTTTCCGGAAATGAATGTTGGACCCGCCCACCTTTAGTCACATGTTATAGATGTTTCAGACGTCATCTTCAGAGCTCTCTGGTAAAGTATTCAGATCCTTTACTAAACTAAAAGTAGTAATATCACACTGAGAAAATAGTCCAGTCCTTCATTCAGATCCTTTACTTACAGTTTTTTTTTTGTTATCGCTTTGGTACTATTATCGCAAGTATTTGGTAAAAATTTCACAACTCTTAGAAGAAAACTCAAAGCAGGTCTTAAAAAAAGGCTGCAATTTCAAACATGGAATCACACGTTCAATTGACTTAAGTACAACACACAAAATTACACAGTAACATTTTCACCACACTTAATCAGTGTGTCATCAAAGAAATACATTTTATATGTCACAATGCAATGCTGACAATACTTTTGATATGATTCTATTTTTGCATAAATACTTTTGACAAACACTTAATCCAACTGATCTTAATGGTTAATCACTGAACCGCTTGGTAAACCTATAGATTTTAAGTTGGTGTGTAAGCTTTTTAAAATGTGTGTTCGTATGGACATCTAAATTACATTTAACCTTATCTAACACATGAATACTCATTATTGATTTCATCTTGTAACCACAACTGGTCACCCATTTAGAGGCAGTGTGTTAACACTGGCAATTTCTTTCAGTATGGAGCACAATTGACAGTAAGGGAGAGGAAGAGCTGGTGGACAAGGGATCCATCAGAGAGGTGGGCATAGGCCCCAACAGAGAGGTCAGACAGGTGGTCAAAGGCCGTGTCAAGTGGGTGGTCGTCAGAGAGAGGGAGGCAGAACTGTTGTCTCTAATGAAGTTCGGGCTGTCATCGTTGATCATGTGGTAAGCCAAGGCTTTGCCATGGCAGAGGCTGCCAGATTAGTTGGGCCAAATCTAAAAAGATCAACTGTTAATTGAATCATTCACACTTTTCGGGAAGAAAACCGGTAAGTCTGGAGGATGTATACTGTGCTTTACCTTTAGATTTACAGTACTGTAAATTGTAATGCATGTAAATTCATCTTCAAATTCAAATCCATTCAACATCTTACAGTATTCTTACAGTATGATCTATCGACAGTATATTCTTTTCTATGCTAAGAATTGACAGAAAACCCCACAGTTGTTGCCATGTGCTGACCGACCAGCAGGAGTTGGCAGTGGTGGAAATGGTGAGGGCCAATAATGATATATGGCTGTCAGAAATAAAGCAGGCAATTGAGGAGAACAGTAACATCTTTGCCAGTGTGGCATCCATCAGCCTACCAACAGTAGCCCTTATGAAGAGGCGGCAGGTATCAATGAAACAAATATACCTAATTGCTTTTGAGAGAAAAAATGACCAGGTGAAACAGCTGAGGCTGAATATGTTCAGGTATAGCACTATATACTGTATTACAGTTTTTCTCTGTCGCTCTGGTGCATTTCTCAAATCATCCTTAACATTTGCAAAATAGTAAGTGCATTTTTCGAAACAGGTAGTGCAAACGGCACAACACAGTGGATTACCTGCAAAAGCCCATAACTTGCTCAAAATCCTTAGTTTATCTCTCCAAAGAAAATCTTTATGTCATTGAACTTGTCAGTGCCATCAGAACGACAAGTCCTTGTGCAAGCAAGTCAAAATGTTTAGCCATCTTGTCAATATAACAGCTATTTGATAGGTTGATAGGTTGATGGATGTGGACCAAGAACGCACAAGCACAGCATGTGCTTTACAGTAATGTGAGCATGTGAAACAGTCTTTTCATAAGAACTTTGTTGAAGAGGATTATGAAAATATAAAAAAGAAAAATTTAGTCTTCAGTAAGAATTGAGCACAGAATAATACTGTGTTTGACCACATTTCGCCTTCAGAACTGCCTTAATTCTACGTGGCATTGATTCAACAAGGTGCTGAAAGCATTCTTTACAAATGTTGGCCCATATTGATAGGATAGTATCTTGCAGTTGATGGAGATTTGTGGGATGCATATCCAGGGCACGAAGCTCCCGTTCCACCACATCCCAAAGATGCTCTATTGGGTTGAGATCTGGTGACTGTGGGGGCCATTTTAGTACAGTGACAACTCATTGTCATGTTCAAGAAACCAATTTGAAATGATTCGAGCTTTGTGACATGGTGCATTATCCTGCTGGAAGTAGCCATCAGAGGATGGGTACATGGTGGCCATAAAGGGATGGACATGGTCAGAAACAATGCTCAGGTAGGCCGTGGCATTTAAACGATGCCCAATTGGCACTAAGGGGCCCAAAGTGTGCCAAGAAAAGATCCCCCACACCATTACACCACCACCACCAGCCTGCACAGTGGTAACAAGGCATGATGGATCCATGTTCTCATTCTGTTTACGCCAAATTCTGACTCAACCATCTGAATGTCTCAACAGAAATCGAGAATCATCAGACCAGGCAACATTTTTCCAGTCTTCAACTGTCCAATTTTGTTGAGCTCTTGCAAATTGTAGCCTCTTTTTCCTATTTGTAGTGGAGATGAGTGGTACCCGGTGGGGTCTTCTGCTGTTGTAGCCCATCCGCCTCAAGGTTGTGCGTGTTGTGGCTTCACAAATGCTTTGCTGCATACCTCAGTTGTAACGAGTGGTTATTTCAGTCAAAGTTGCTCTTCTATCAGCTTGAATCAGTCGGCCCATTCTCCTCTGACCTCTAGCATCAACAAGGCATTTTCGCCCACATGACTGCCGCATACTGGATGTTTTTCCCTTTTCACACCATTCTTTGTAAACCCTAGAAATGGTTGTGCGTGAAAATCCCAGTAACTGAGCAGATTGTGAAATACTCAGACCAGCCCGTCTGGCACCAACAACCATGCCACGCTCAAAATTGCTTAAATCACCTTTCTTTCCATTCTGACATTCAGTTTGGAGTTCAGGAGATTGTCTTGACCAGGACCACACCCCTAAATGCACTGAAGCAACTGCCATGTGATTGGTTGATTAGATAATTGCATTAATGAGATATTGAACAGGTGTTCCTAATAATCCTTTAGGTGAGTGTATAATTACCATTATGGTTATCTCGAAATCACGAGAAAATGATGAGTAAAAAATATTTGATTAGGTCTTCCTAATCTTAGGTCTTCCTATGTATAAATGTATATATAGATAGACATTCTATACATGTCTATAAGAATTTTTTTGGAAATGTGTCCTGAATTGATGAAGATATCTGTTGTGATGTGGAAGAGAATCTGTGATACAACAGACTGGAACGTCAGCCAAAGGGATGTACTGTATCCCATGCAACAGTCCTGTCTCTTTCTTTTCTGTATTACAATGACATGCTCTGTCAACAAATTACAGTACAAACAGTAAAAGCATAGCTGTGATTCCTGTCCTCTCTCCTGCAATGTATAACTTTGTACTGGTGAAAGTGATATATGCCATACAAAAAAAGTGCAGCCTTGTGCATTTTCAATCGTCATCAAAATCTTAGCCAAAATACTTACAGAGTACACTGTTATATTGACAAGATGGCTAAACATTTTGACTTGCTTGTTCATAAACAAGACACAAGAACTTGTCGTTCTGATGGCACTGACAAGTTCAATGACAAGTTCAATGACTTTTGAGAGATAGACTAAGGATTTTGAGCAAGTTATGGGCTTTTGCAGGTAATCCACTGTGTTGTGCCGTTTGCACTACCTGTTTCGAGAAATGCACTTACTGTTTTGCAAATGTTAAGGATGATTCGAGAAAAAAGAAACACTGTAACATAAGCATGAAGTGGGAAGTGTGATCCATAATTTTGAGTAGTTTGTGCAACAACCATGCAACAGGATTAATATTCCTGCTGCATTAATGTGTATGTTGCATTTTACTGCTGTAGATGTTTTAACTCCTTTATATCCTGTTGGAGAGTTTAATCTACAGCAACGCATCATAAGATCATCAGGTAGCATCTCTGTCCTGTGAGAACCACATACTGTATCTCTAAAGTCAACTTTTCATGAGCTCAGAAAAACAGCCTTGTTTGCAGCTAACTAGTAACAAAAGCTGTCAGATTTGTTTTAACAAAAAAGTACAATATTTGCCTCTGAGATGTAGTTGAGTAGAAGTATAAAGTAGCAAAAAATGGAAATACTCAAGTAAAGTACAAGTACCTTGAATTTGTAACAGTATTTGAGTAAATTTACTTAGTAACATTCTACCACTGAAAAATTATAACAATAATCATAACAATCACACAAATGTTTAGAGGAGAAAATGTTTTATTGTTTAGCTAATTTGCAGTGTTGCCAGAACATACATCAAGAGACATTGCAGCTAAAAAAAGTACCGAAGTACTAAAAGGTGCTGTCTGAGGATGGTGTTGAGGCTTCATCAGTTCTTTGTGATGTGGACAGGGGAAAAGGCTAGAGGCAGCAGCTCCCGGAGGCTGGTTTCTTTGTAAGATCCATCGGGCTTGGTCAGATACACAGTCCAGTCTGATCCAAACTGGTGAGAGAAAGATGCACGGTGAAACAGAAGGAGAAAATACCAACATACAAAGTATAGATAGTGTAAAAGTACCCAAAAAGGTAAGTTAATTAAGGTAGACATTTTCATTTTGTATTCATTATTGCCCGTCATGCTCTCGAGGAATAGAGTTCTGCTGAAGAAATACTAAATCCTTTATTAACGGGGAGTCTAAAAATACTGGAATCATCACATCAAACATCCAGCATGTCCAGCAACGACACTCCACCCACGTGCTAAAACCCCCAAATTCCCGAAACCAAAGAGCACTGTGCTGTTATTTGATCTTAATCATGATTTCAAAGATTACTTCATAGGTAAAGATAAAACATCTAAACCCCTTACAGTTTTGTCACGATAGCAGAAAAAAAGACAATAAATCATATTAATCTGGAGTACATTGCCTCAACATGGCAATTAAATTTTCCTACTCTGTGAGTTATAAGTTATAACATTTTACTATTCCAGGTTATTACTATTAATGTTTAACATGCCTATAAAATACAGTGGTTGTTCACACACCCCGTGAAAATGTGATGGTTCGTGTGTCCAACTTGCTGACAGCTTGTAAAACGAAGCTCTTAGTGTTAGCTACCCTTGTAAAAACTATACATGGTGATCTGCTGCTGAATGTGTGCATGTCTGCAGACTGTATTTGCCCATTGTATCTGATAACACCTTATGCAGTTTGTAGTTTGTTTGTAATCACCAATCAACCAAACTGATTATAAATACAGGAGAAAGATTCCATGTTAGGCTCATGGCAGTTACTATCACTCATGTATTTATGTAAACTGTGCATGGGGTGATTGCATTTACTTTATAATGTTTTTAATGTAAATGCGCATTTGATGTTGTTTTCATTTGTTTACATAAGGGATTGCTTTTGTTGTTATTTTAATGGTTAGGTAAACAAAGACTGCTGCTAATTTCAAACTTTTTGAACTTTTTCAGAACCGCGATAATACTGATGACGTGATCATTTTCAGCACTACAGTTGTGACTAAAATGTTCAGATTGTTAAAGTATATTTACTGAACAAACCTGCCAATGCAGAGAGACTATTTTGACTTGTTCCAAAAGCAAACTGACTTTCTAAAAAAAGTATTTAGTAGCCTACTAAAATCAAGTGTTCTTGATTGTAATACAGTGACTTACTGTACATTATTCTCAATTGTTTTAAAATATAGACATTTATTTCTAGAAGATTCTAGAAACCACAAAAGTTTTAGAGTACAATTATAGACAGAAAGAACTTCATAAAGTACTTGCAGTGTAGCACCTACTGATCACAGGATAGTGATTGTCTGGTACGGGTCATAAAAGAGATGTCTCACCTCCATAAGAACTTGCCGACATGCTCCGCATGGCCCAACAAAACTGTCTTTGATATCACTACAGATAAGAGGATAAATGCATGAGCGCTATATGTATCTCTTAATGTGCCAATGATGTCATTACACTGAGGGTCTCACCATGTCACAGCAATGGCAGTGAACTGTCTGTGTCCTTCCACCACAGCTCTCTGGATGGCTGTCCGCTCAGCACACACTGTCAGACCATAGGAGGCATTCTCCACGTTACAGCCTGAAAGTACACAAACGCTTTGTGTCTGCACTCTGTCACAGTGGTAAAATAAGTATTTAGATCTATTAAAAGGAATCTTAAAATCTTCATTTCATACTTTAATTTACTTGTTTTTATACTTTGTACATAAACTCTTTCTCCCTCTTCGTCCTTCTCTTCATGAACTACTTTATAATTTCTGTTTTGAATAAAATTTGCTTTAAGTGTCGAAAGACAAAAGACTCATTATGCATCAGAATGGCGCCTATCAAAGTAATATTGTTATATATTATATTGTATTGTATTATTAATGATGTGTTTGTGTGTATACAGCATATGCACAATACTAATAATACAGCGGCAGGTTGAGGTGGAGCTTTTTTCAACTTTTTTTATATACTTTGGGTAATTTAATTTACTGTAGGTCTATAAATATACATCGTAATTCACCTCAGAACTGTACCGTAAGATAAGATGAGATAAGATAAGGAGCACAAGTACGAGAACAGATGCAGAGTATATCGATATGCAACTTTTAAAATAGTTTAAGGCCTTCATTGTAAGTAATAATAAAAATTTAAGTAATAATACATAAAATACTAAATAATGTATACACCACCATAAGTAGTAACTACAAAGCGTTTTGGGATAAAAGCGACAAGGGAATTGCTAATATAAAACTGGAGTGTCAGGAGCACGAATACAATTATGATTATATAACTAAAGTAAATGTATATAGTTTCTTTCCACCAGCACTTTCAGTTTTCAGACGTCTTTAATGGTAGTATTTGTATTTTACTTACATAAAAATACCCACCCACAATTTAAAAACAATCCATTACATCAGCATTTTCCTGTTGTGGCTGGTTAAGGTGGTAATTTAATATAACACACCAACGACTGCACCTCAGGAGACCCATCTGTCAAACTCCTGACGTTCACTGACGACACAACGGCAATCGGCCTCATCCGGGACGGTGACGAGTCGGCCTACAGACGGGAGGTTGATCAGCTGGCTCTCTGGTGCGGTCAGAACAACCTGGAGCTTAACACGCTCAAAACTGTGGAGATGACTGTGGACTTCAGGAGGAGCCCCCCCCACTCTGCCCCCCATCACCATACTCAACAGCCCTGAATCTGCTGTGGAATCCTTCAGGTTTCTGGGATCCACTTTATCCCAGGACCTGAAGTGGGAGCCCAACACTGACACGATCATCAAGAAGGCCCAGCAGAGGATGTACTTCCTGCGTCAGCTCAGGAAGCTCAACCTGCCTAAGGAGCTGCTGATCCACTTCTACACAGCCATCATCCAGTCTGTCCTCTGCACCTCCATCACTGTCTGGTTTGGATCTGCCACCAAAAAGGACAGGGACAGACTACAACTGACAGACAGGACTGCAGAAAAAATAATTGGTGCCAACCTGCCCTCCATTCAGGACTTGTACATTTCCAGAGTCAGGAAACATCACTGCAGATCCATCTCACCCTGGACATAACCTGTTCCAGCGCCTCCCCTCTGGTAGGCGCTACAGAGCACTGTACGCCAAAACCAACAGACTCAGGAACAGTTTCTTCCCACAAGCCATCACTCTGATGAACAGCTGATTTCTGACTCACAGTGTCAGGAACAATTCCTGTGCAATAACCCAGTAACTCTGTCTCTAATCAGCCACCTGTTTTCTGGCTAACACTTATTATTTATTCACCATTCTCTATTTCAGTTATATTGTCATATTGTAGATAGTGTATACCAAATCCACCTACCTCAAGTCATTACTCCTGCACGAAATACTATATTTCACCATCCTTTGCACTATGGTTCATTGCACTGTGTACATGTATGCATGTATATGTATGTGTATATCACATCCACCTCCGACATGTACATACTCCTGCATCCTTTGCACTCTGATCACTGCACTATTTGTCAATATGTCTATATTGTTTTTGTTCATAGTGTGTATATTTGTGTTGTCTACACTGAAGTCTGTGTCTGACTTTATTTTATTCTTATTGTGTTTTTGTATTTTTGTATGAGTAAGCACATCATGAGCAATGTACAATCCAGAGTCAAATTCCTCGCATGTGTACACATACCTGGCAATAAAGCTGATTTTTCATCTGTAAAGTAAGTACTAACTTTAGCTGTGCAGTTAATGTAGTGGAGGAAAAGTACAATTTCTTATTAACTATGAAGTAACATCCAATGAAAGTTAAGTACAAAAATATACAGTCTCTTTCCATAACTGGACTTTGTTTTGATGAATGCACTTGTAAGACGAGTGAAGTCACCTGTTGGGTTATTACCTGTAACTATAGCACCATCTGCTGTTAATATGGCAGCACCGACAGGAAACCGGCTGTATGGACAGTATGCCATGTCCCGGGCCTGCAGGCACTTTGAAACGAGCTCTTTAACTTTATCTGCGCACAACAGGGACCACGAGGATTTAAAAACACAGGGTTAGTTAGCATTTATTATGAGCACATTCATACGCCAAGTGTGATAGGAGAGGTTTGTACAAAGGAAACGTTTCAGTGTGACACAGAGGTGGACTTGCCTGTCATTGCAGAAGAAGAGTGTTCGCAGTTTTTGTTGGACAGTTTTGGACTATGTCACCTTCTACAGCTGGACCGTCATGTGACCCCCCAGTAATGGATGACTGTTATGTTTAATGTTTAAAAATTCATTTAGAGTTAGCTCACCAGCGAGAACATCGGGGTTCACGACAGCTGCACGCCCATGCTTTACCTTCACGTTATTGGCCGGTTGAACGGAGCGTCATCTGGACTACACCTATGGACTGGACTGTTATGACCAGATGGGACATGACTTTTGTCAAAGGTTTCTCGCGAGAAAAGGGAAAGTTGACCTAACGGCAACCATGACAAAACCACTCTAAAGACCAAATAAGTAAACAAACAAAAACACCACGTCATTACACAAACAAATTGATGCACGAACTACTACATGAGAATGACGTCACGGCTACAAAATTGTGACCAAATTTTATAATATTTTAATTTGCACAGCTTTCATGATGTTGTATTTTACACAAGACTTCACGCTTTAATCAACAATATACACATTTATTGAAAAGTGACATTCCATCAAAAACAAATGTTAAATTGAACAAATTAGACAAAAGCACATAAATACTTCATATGGTTAATAAGACTTACAAGTTTACACATCTGAGGACAGAACAGCTAATGCTGAATGGAATAACTTTAGAAAATAACAATTTGTCAAAAACAAAGTGGGAGAAAAGAAAAACAATGAACAGATATGACAAAGAACCATAACAATAAACAAGTAGGATATCTTTGGGTGTTTTTACGCATGCAGATAATTATATTAACCTTTCATACCTCATGCATTCCTATAAAAGTCAGTGTTTGCGGGTGCAGGACTCATCTTCACATAACACAGCAGTCCTTTGCAGAATTTGGCAAGGATGACCAAAAAACACATAATCTCCAACACTATGGTCCAGAAAGCAAATGTGTACAGGGTCTTATCACAGTAAAGACCATCAGCAGCTGTAGGATCATAGTTGGGCTGATAGACTGAGAAGACCCACACACCACCTGTAGGTGCAAGGGACAAGGATATTTAGCTGTCATTTTTAAATAAGAGATGTAGAAATGAGTCAGGGTTTGTGTGGTGAGGCAGATTGGAGGACCCAAATGCAGGACTCACGGCTGGCAGATTCAGTTCAAAAAAGGTTTATTAAATCAAAAGCCAGCACACTTACAGGCAATGGCTCCAATGTCTATTGAGTCCAATGGAGAATCCACAAGGGCATGGGGGAAACACAAATCCAAAACACTGGCAGACAACGTTACAGGCAGCAAGCACAAAAAAACCACAACAACAGACAGCACATCTACACGCAACAAAACACTGCAATGAACAGAAAAAGACTAAAGAGAAACACCAGGTATATATACACACGGACTAACAAGCTGGGAGGAGACACACAGGTGAGGGACATGAGGCTGACGAGACACAGGCAGGCAGAGAGATAACTGGGGGAACAGACGGGACACTTGACCGGCAGACATGGGGCAAGATAACAACCAACAGAAGAACATAGACCAGGAGTAAACACTTAAGACATGAACTAATGTACAGGACTAAGAACTAAGACACCGAATTAGGAACTTAGATTCGAGACAAGACAGATACTAAGTAACTTAATAATGCAGATGAATAATAATAATAAAGGCTACACAGAGACTAAAGCAGAATGATCAAAATCAGATTAATTAATGAAACCGGCAGAGAACATAAATAGATATGTAGCAAACAGCAGAACTCAAGCATGATGGTATGGAAACTAATACATGAGACTGAAACAGAACTGATAAAAGGGAAATACGAAAACACCACTAAACACCAGCTGACGGATAATAACCAGATACAGAACAATAACATAGACCACATAACAGATAGAGAAAAGACTGAAATAACAAACTGAGAACTACACAGGGCAGGCAGGCACACAGCGTGACAAAATGACATCTGATTTGTTTCCTCCTTACCTGCCAGGACCCATGTCAATATCAACAGGCTTATTAAACACAGCAGACACGCTTTGAAACCTCTGGGGTGCTCCCGTGGCTGAGCTGCGTGGCTCTCGCAGGGGAGAGTCACATATGGTATCATTAGCAGTTGTAACAAAGCCAGTCCTAACAGAAAGTTGGGAATGTTGGGCTGCTGAGGGCAGTCCTTGAAATACACAGCACCTGTGGATAGATGGTGGCGAGAGCAATGTGTAGTTACACTGTCGAAATACAATACAGAAAAACATCATGAAGAAAGAGCACTGACCAAAGATGATTTGTGCCAGAATCACGACAGCCCGTACTCCTGTTGCTGCAACTAGAGTGGTAAAGTTTAAAATATGTCAGATTCAAGCCTCCAAGTTGAAGGTAGGATTTATTGCAGGGCTGTTGTATTTGACTTGTTAAATTTGCTGGATGTAAACTGGCAAATTGATCTTATTATACTCACCTGATAGTCTTGGGGGTCTGGTTGGTGGGGGTTTCACTTGAAACCTCCATACGGTACCCACAGTTACTATCACTGGGCGGTCTGTAGATGGGGCTAAAAGCAAATAGACTGGTGTCATTCTCTCAGTGGTTTCAAGTTTCTACACTTGCTGATATTAGCCTATATATATTGTTTGTTTGTTTATTTTTGTTTTAGATATGTGCACTTTCTTATTATTCATAATTGTCCATTTAACATCCTCCGGGGACCATAAATGTCTGTACGAAAAGTCTTGGCGCTTGAATAGTAGTAGAGATCCTTAAGTGTGGACCAACATTTCCATCCCCTGAGCCCTGCCACTAACTTGGCAAAAACACTGATGGATTGGAAGCTGAATTTAGATTTAGGAAGTGGTTCAGAATCAAAAATGAGAGAATTCGCTTCATCTTTAAGCCTAAATACAACAAGCAGAAAGAAAGAGGAGGGAGAATGAAAATAAAAGTGAAAGTAAAGAGGATATGGGAGAGGAGGGAAGGGATACAGAAAGAAACTTTTCTTTTAGCTGTTTTGCAAGCACACAACATTTTTCTTAGAGAATCCACCTCATCTAATGCATTTCTAGGTTGTCCAGTCTTTCAGATTACATCACTAAAAAAAAACACAGCTTGAATGCCCCTATGGTGGCTAAAACGTGCTTTACACAACACGATAATTAAAATGTAAGACTTGTACACAGGCTCAAGTTCACACAAATAACCCTGAGATTAATTAAATAATTAATAGTGTGCTTTGATAAGACACACGCCTTTGGTGTACGAAACTGGAATTTGATTCCCACTGCAACACATCCACTACTAATGTGTCCCTGAATACTTAAGCCCAAGTTGTTCCAGAGGTGTGTGACTTCTGACATATCCACTAAGTCGCTTTGGATGAAAGCATCAGCTAAATGACTAAATGTAATGTCCAAATTGACAGCAGATCACCCAAAACACCTGATAGAGCAACAGCATATTGAATAAATTGTTATGCAATCATACAAGAACACACTTGCCTGCCATTGCAGCTGAAGCAGCTTGCTGTACCTGAACGTTTCGTCAAATGAATTAACTAGCGCACTAGACACTTGGAAAACACCTGGGGATTTTTACCAGCTCCTGTCTGGTCAACACTGAACAGGATGAACACGTTATCACATGTGATGGCATGTCATTTCATTCTTAAAATTTAAACCATGCAAACCAAATGAAAGTGAAATGAATCCTCTGTGGGATTTTTTTATTTGCTGAATCTACTGATCTTTTTCCTTAAAACTGAGAACATTTAGAATAACTACAACTAAATGTTTTCAAAATCAGAAGAAACCATATGCAACTCTGTAAAATCCTCCATACTCTACTACATCACACAATATACAGTTAGAGACAAAAATATAAAATAATATGAGTTACAACACTACCACATACTGTATATTCCTCTTGTGGAGAGTATGAAAAACTCAGGGCAGATTAGACTTTAAGATTGATAATCAAGTAAAGGTGACTAGCTATTGTTAATACACATATTAAAAGTGTTTCACCCAATATACATCTGTGAAGTACAGATTAACCTGCTCAGTACTCTCTGTGCACTGTATTTGTATCTTGTTACCATTACGTACAGTGTGGACACTGTGTTTTCCCCATGGCTCCCACAAACCAACCAGTAAGAATATGCACCATGCACACATACCTGAAGTCATTTTTTTTAAAAACAAGCTCTACAAGAGAGTACCTTAAGAGCACCATTTTAGTTTATATCATCCTTGTGTGATGCATACAACCAGTCAAATTTGCAATTATCAGTATGCCGTGTTTTGTTTCTGCACTAAAACAGTGCAACGTGGCTGAAATCATTATCACAATATTAATGTAATATGGACGACTCCTTCATTGACAGCTGCACTATACCTTTCCCTAGGACTGGCTGACAAGATCGCCTTCATGTCCAACACAAGGAGTAGCAACGTTTCTCCTCTGAGAGGCGTTTTAAGGTGCCGGACCGCAGGAAGAACAAGTACAAGCACTCTTTTGTTCCTCACTCCATAATACTGCTCAAAAACAGTCAACCTGATGCAAAGCAGTGACACTTGTTCCACTGCATGAGGCCAAAGTATTGTATTTTGTCAAACATAATTTCTACATGAAGCACACACGTAGTTATTTTGTGTTGTCAACACTTGATTACTGCTGTTGTCTTTCTTTTGAGTGACCATTCTGCTGGTCCTGGTCTAGACGCCTGGCTTCCACAGATGTTCAATACCAAACGCCTGCCACGGCCCATTTTGTTTGTGTATCTGGCAAGTTTAATATAGAGTTGTTTTGTTTATTTTCTAACTCTGAGTTGCTACCAAACTGGTTAGTTTTGTGTTATACTGAGGTCAGGTTTAATTCACTGAGTTCTGTTGCAGTTCAGTTTGCTGTATTTTAAGTTCAGTTAAGTTGACTTCTTTTAGACAACATATTGCTTAATAATCACTTTTTTCTTGCTTTCTCTCCCTTTTGTGGATAAATAAAAAAACTTCAGAAACCTGCATCATGTGTCTTGCGGCTGGGCCCTTGACATATGTGTAAAACAAATTTGAAAATCTATTTTAGCTCAGTTGGTGTAATCAATTTGGACAACAGAAATATGGATAATAATACTATATGGAAGATGATAAATGATGATATTTCATTTTTGCAAAATTCTCCAAAGGAAGGGACATTTAAAACATTAATTTGGTAGCATTTTCTCCTCATATCTGTGATGCTTTAAATGAACCATACGCGCGCGCACACACACACACACACACGCACACACACACGCACAAACAAGCTCATTCATTTACACCTCATGGTTTATCAGCTAGTTAGATTTGATATCTTTGGTTGACAGAGCTTTTATTAATACAGCAGGCCAAGCCCTCTCTTGTGTTTGCAATAGGCCATAAATAGAGCAGACTGATATCAACAGGTATCAAAGGGCATTCATCTGCATGACGGAGCGCCCTGAGCGCGTGCACACACACACACACACACACACAGATGCCCCATTCCCTTCTTTGTTCTTCAGTTTGTTTAGGTTTAATGTTTGTCCTGCACTTTAACTTTTTGTGGAGGGGTAGATTTGTCCCCCCTGCTGAGGATTTTTATTTTCAGACCCTTTAGAGGAAACACAGGTCTGTAATCCGATTGCAGGCGGCTACACCAATACTTGGCCTTTGTTCCCACTCTCCTTCCTGCTCTAACTGTCCCTGGTTGTGTTTGACTTTCGCAGTGGTGAGCTTCTCATACGCCTCTCGTTTTTTGTTTTTTTGTTTCGCCCACATTTCACTGACGTCCCTCTGACTTACAGAGAGGGAAAGATACTCGGAGTGAGAGTATAAAAAGAGAGACTACAGCAAATAACAGAGAAAAAAAGGTAAAACCATGTGTTGTACGGGGAAGTGTGCCCGCCTGGTGGGCCTGATCCTGCTGCCTTCAGCGTTCATCTGCATGATCTCCAACCTGCTACTGTTCTTCCCCAACGGGCAGAGACTGGAAAATGACCAGATCTCCCTCCAGGTCTGGCTCATGGGGGGGCTCATCGGAGGAGGCCTCTTTGTGAGTAAAAGATCACGATCTATGTACATCTACAAAGTCTGGGTTGAAGTTTTATTAGGGTTTTCCGTCATTAACTTTACTTTGTGTAAACTTGTAAAAATAATTTATTGAGCATTATCACTTTGGAGGGAATAACTAGGACTTTTCTATAATAGATATTTTATAATTCTAGTTTAAGTCCAGATCATAAACTATACAAACAAAAAAAATTTCATGCTGAGTTACAGAGGAAAAAATAATTAAAGGACATCAAGATATTTCTCAGTGACATTAACAAGGTTAACATTTCAACATTAACAAGGTTTTGCTTTAAGAAACCTTGAAACAATTAACAACATTAACTCAAGTACAATTTTAAGGTACTTGCCATTTTATACTTTTAACCTACTACAATTGAGAGGGAAATACTTTTTTACACACAAAACATATGATAAATTTATGAAATGATGCATTGTTATATATTAAACCACCCAACATATATAAAAAAATCAGCTCTAATTCAAGCAGGTACAAGATTAAAATGCTATGACAACATATAGATATAATGTATAATAGCATCACACTCATTTTTAAGTGCAATGAGTAGGCTACTTTTACTTTTGGTGGGCTATACATTTTGCAGATGATCCTTGCAGATGGTACTTTTTATTTTCATTTACAACACAAGACGTTTTCTTGTAATGGAGTATGTTTACACTGTGGTATACTACATCTACCACTGTGTATGTGCATCTTGTAGTGTCTTATAGTTTGAAAAACACATTTTACAACAAGGAGAACAAACGTAGCCTGATCTCCTGTACTTCCTCAAACAGATATGATTATGCGAGTTTCCACCAGCTTTATCTCGACATTTAAAGCCTCATAAGGACAATAAATAATGAATAAAAATTTTAGAGATAAAAAGATCAGAGAGACCTTTGAGTCTTGTGGAAGGACACGTTTCTTTTATCACCGTAATATTACAGTTTTGAACAGAGACCAGGAAGTTGGATGTCTTTCCCTTCCCACCTCTAACTGTGTGTGTGGATGTCACTGCCTGCTGGGACGACAAAGTTAAACTTGATGATTCAGGATTCACAAATATTTAGTTTAAGAGATAAGAGAACACGCGCACACAGGTGCAATTGTGTGTGGCCCTACATTTATGTAAACATAAATATACGCACCATACTTCAGTGTTTTTAAGAAACTCAGGCTTGCATTTAAAATACTTTAAAGATATCACTTGTAGTACTCTGTGAGAAAATATATGTCCATCTTTTCAGATGTTGTGTCCTAGCTGTTCGGCTATCAGGGCCGGGGGCAAGGGTTGCTGCGGAACAGGTTGCTGTGGCAACAGGTGCCGGGTGAGTAAAGTCATTTGAAAAATTGACATTTATAGCCCGAGTGTCACGAGTGTGTCAGTGTAGGGACCAGGCTGATAAAGACTCGTGGCAACAGTCAACAGTGAGAGCGATGTCATATCAAAGCCAAACAAAGATTTTATGTATTTTAGATGCAATTCAACATATGGATCGTACCATCATACCAAATATATTTACTGTACTGTGAATTACTATTTAAAGTCAATGTTTTTATAGATTTTTGGTTAAATAGCCTGTGTTTTACAGAAGTAGGTATGCGTCTCCTCCATTACAGAGTGAACAGTACTCACTTCTCTTTAATTATCAGGAACTGAACTGCTAATTATTTAATTGTTGACATTGTCTAGTTGAGACCTTTTCAGTGAATGGACCCTGTCAGCAAAGAAAAGCATAGACGGCCCTTAATTTAATGAGTGTTTTACTTTGTATTTTTTCTGAAAACACCACTGTGTCTTATTTAGGCCTAATTAGAATATCAAAAAGTTCCACTAATGAAGCCAGGCTGTGTGGGAGTGTGTTTGTTTCTGTCTTAAATCAAGTCACGGCAGGTAAAATGGATTTTGCGCTTGGTGACAATAAAAAAGACAATAAAATGACCTTAATGAAACCCACTATTAGGTTTTGTAAATGTTATTCACATACTCTTGGACAAAAGATAGAAAAGTAATAATGCAGTGTATTTCCCATCTCTCCTCCAGATGCTGAACTCTGTGTTCTCCTCTGCTTTTGGTGTGGTGGGAGCGATCTACTGCACCAGTGTGGCCTCAGCAGGTCTGGCTATTGGACCCAAGTGCCAGGTGGCCAGTGGAGAATGGGAATACCCCTTTGAAAACCTCGGCACGTGAGTGTTTCTCCAATTATCACTTATTCAACCGTACCTTTTCTTGGCAGGTAGTTAATGCCGTAGAATAACTCCAGTCGCTAATCGTGCTCTGAAAAGTATTTTGCTGCCCTTCCTCATTTTTTTCAGTCATGCTGCTTTGTAGCTGCACTTCTCTGTTATTTCCACCAGCTATATTTACTTTTATTGTCTTTGTTAGAGCAGCAGGAAAGATTCAATTCTTGCTTATAAAAATTTAAATGTTTATATAGGCCTAATATTTTTTTAAATCCAGTAGGTGGCAGACTGGACCAGCACTTTGTGTTTCTGTAGCAGTGAGCCCCCAGCATTAAGAATAAGCTACCACTCCTCTGGTGTTTGTAAAACTTCATGAAGGGAAGTTATTTTATCTTGATTGGAGGTCATGTTAAGCTATAGATTGGCCTTTTTAGTTGAGGAACAGTTGCTCTAGTATACTTTCTCTCCTTGCTGGCCTGAAAACAGTATGACTTAAAATCAGTCTCAGACAAAGTGATAATGCTGTGAGGATGCACTACTGAAGCATTTTACAAGCTCGGGCAGGTAAACTGATTCACCTGATAGAGGCCCCTCTGGTGATCGGGTCAAATGTTAATAAATATGAGCATTTTTTTAATATGTAGGCCATAGCTGTCCAAGATGATAGCAGTTTAAAGGGCAAAAGTGTTTACAGGGAGGGAACCAAGTTTGATTACACAATTCATGATGGGATATTAATATTCAACCTCAGATAGCTCTTCCTCCTAGTAAACCTCAATTTCCCCTTTTTACTTTTTCTCTTTTTTTTTCTGTACACTTAATAGGCTTTTTGCTGACAGTTAGATGAAAAGATTGATTCCACTCCCAGATATATAAAGCTACAGCTAGCTTTAGCACAAAGACCTGAAACAGGGGCAAACACTCTTCTCTACTCTTTACACTTTGGTTTATGTACAGATAAAACAAATGAGACACAACGTGTTAATTAGTGAGCTTTAGAGGTGCTGGTAGGCAGATTTCTTTTTAACTCTGGACAGAGCCATGCTAGCTGTTTCCCCTTGTTTCTAGTCTTTGTGCTACGCCTTCTCTACAATCTTCTTATCTAACGTTTAAGTTTGAAAGTGTATTTCCCAAAATGTCAAACCATTCCTTAAATTTTTCACTGTTTTGTAACTGGAGAATGTCACTTTTCTCCAACAAACTTTCATTAACTTCTCTATCAATTCCCCTCCTTTCTTTTTTCCATGTGCTTTCTTTCTCCACGTCTCACTTGTTCCATTCACCTCCTTACTGACACATTTTTTCTCTTCTCAGTCATCTCACTTTTTCTTCCTGCAACCCAAACTTGGCCTGCTTCACACACATTTTCATTAATGCTTTGTGTATTTTGGACAGTGCTTATGCTCTACTGCTCTTTTCCTTCGCAGGGGTAATGGCAGCTACCTTGTAAACCAGACCATGTGGACAACCTGTGAGTACCCTAAAAATGCAGTGATGTGGCACGTTGTGCTGTTCTCCATCCTGCTGGCCATGGGAGTGGTGCAGCTGGTGCTCTGCGGCATCCAGGTGGTCAACGGCTGCTTGGGATGCATCTGTGGTGACTGTCGCGACAGCAAAGACGTAGGTGAAATATCCTGAAATTCAAGGAAGTTGCAAAGCTTTCAAAAGACACAATGAGTTTTGAATAGTATCTGAGGCCATGAGGTCATGAAAGCTACACAGAGGAAGCAATAACATATTAAACAA